TTACCTGTCATAGAGTCAGAAATCTTGAAGTCTTTAGTTCCACTCACATCAGTTAGCTCATCTCCTTGCTACAACCCGCGACGATCATGACTAGACTGGTCCCTTTCTGAGGAAACCTACCTGACTCCCATCTTGCAGTCCATGATAACAGGCTTCCTCAGGCCGCTCAGCAGGTCCTCCAGGCGGATGTAGCAGTGCTCCCCTCTGGTGACCAAGCCGTGGTACTGCGGGACGAAGGCTCTCAGCGGGTCTCTCATCAGGCTGTCCAGACACTTTGCCTCCACCTCACTGTGCAGCTTCAGCACCTCCCCTCCTTTACTCACCTGGAAGTTACCTGGTGACAGCAGCAACCAGCGAGGGGAGAAGAAGGAGCAGATGATTGTGTTTCTGTATGTTCAGCAAAGCAGGAAAGCAGAATGAGGGAAACATCTGGTTTCAGGTCTGTGAACACTAACGTCCCATTCATTAAACTAAAACTATGCTTTTAATGACCGAATGAGCAGAAATCAAGACTAAATGTGAACTGAATCCTCACAGAAGTGCTTTAAATTAGGTTTACATACAGTAGTCTTCAGTTAAAGGACAGATCTGTTGATCCTTGACCTGATCAAACACATTCTATAGCATATTGTGTACCCTGAAAGTTCCTGGTGATCAAACTAAAACAAACACTCATTCTTAGTTCAAGAACAGCGGACACTCTATTATAAAATGTTTTGCAGAGCAGCAGTGACATTTACATAAATATAGTCTATGTGCAATAGGAACAGCAGTGTAGTGATGAGTCCTTTTGAGAACTGAGATCCTCTCATGTTCACAATTCACAGAAAAACTTCAAAGTCATGTAGAAATCAATCTATCTTTACATTACATCCTTTAGAAATGTGATCACTGTAGTTTCTGAGCGCCTCTATGTGTCTGTTTTGGGTGAACTGTAACACACATGCCTTGATGTCCTGCCAGCTGGACCCAGGAGCTCTGTCGGCCCAGCGACCAGTGCATGATGGTCAGGTAGGTTTTCAAGGAGCGGCACTGGGACATTAAAGAAGAACAGATTATGGAGAATGCTGAGAAGGAAACAGAGGATGGTGTCAATGAAGAACTCTTGTTGCGGTCCACTATTATTGTCTGACATATGTTCAGCCATCATCCATTTTCTCTGTTGCTTATTAATTATTTTTTCTATTTTCTATTTTTTCTATCTATAACAGTAAATCCAACCAAGCTGTGCTATAATAAGAAATTAGAATATGCTGTAAATGCATAATGCCCTTTTTCTTTCTTGCATTGCCTCTGCAGCAGTCACAAAAGACAAATACATAGACAAACTTCCTTCTAATTTGTTGGTCTAATAAAAGAACCTTTTTGTTGTCAGAATGAGCTGAAGGACAAATAGGTAAAATATTTATTTCAAGGGGAAATCCCTCAGATGTCTGTAGTCAGAATTCAGCACACTGGTAGTGTTTGTGTCTGTTGTTCATGTACTCACAATAATATTTAACAATGCAATATTGACTTTAGCAATTTTTCCTATCCATGAATCTTCCACCTTTAATTTCTTTTATTTCAAAGCTGCTTTACGATAGTCAAGTTAAAATCTAAATAAACAAGGAAACGGTAAAACATTTCCCAGGGTTTTGGGGTATTTGGCCTTACGCAAAATGTCTCTTAATTTTGTACCTTAATATTTAGAATAAACTGTGAAATATGTGTCTCTTGATGATATCCTTTTGGGCCGCACAAAAGTTGCCCATACTTACCTTGAGATCCAACAATTAGTCATTAGCAGTACAGTAGTTTAGATGGGACAAAAACAAAAGTTTAACTGTGTCTCTATTTCTGAGAGTTTTCATGGTCTGGAGCCTAAACCCCTCATTGCAAATTTTTAAAAGGCAGGTTACATTATTGGCCAAGTGTAAAGCACACAGACAAACACATTCACCAGCAGGTTATTCAGACTTGTATTTAAACTTTATTTAACCAGGAAAGACCCATTGAGATTAAAAACCTGTTTTACAAGGGCGTCCTGGCCAAGAGGCAGCAAAAGTTACAAAAAGAATGTCCAGTTCCCCAAAACCTGAATATCTACATGCATAGAAAAACACCTGCAAGCAGGGTTTAACCAGGACCTTGTTACTGTGCTAATTTAGAGAAACAAGTTTGTCTCCTGTCTTTATTTAGCCTAATTCCAAGAAGTATAAATAACAACTACCACCCAACCCATGTTCAGGGAATCCTGTGTCTTTTAAACCTAAACCTGTTTCTGTTTTCTGTCCCTTCTCTGTCACATATTTTGACTCTTCTCAGCAGAAAAGTGTTATGAATAAAATCAACAGCAGCTTAAGGCATCCCAGTAAGTCATGTGACAGTGAGTCAGCATGAAGAACGTGGAACCTTGAAACTGGAGCAGAAAGATGGTATTCAACCATTATTCATTTTATTATTTACTGCTGTGACAAAAAAGAGCCTTAGAGCAACTAAAAAGCCCACATTCACATTTAACATATTTATTTCAGGAAGAATTTGCTTTCTGATCAATGAAGTTTCATAAATAAAGTTTCATCTTCATTCTGTGGCATATTGCGACCTGGATTGTGTCTCATTTGTGCGTTTGTTTCTGGTGAAACTGTGAAGTGATTAAATGTACAAACCACATCATGTAGCTTCCACGCTGTCTGAAAATATGTATTCAAAGTAGCGCAAATATCTCTTTATGTGAGCACCAAAAGCGTCACCTGCTGTATCTCAGCAGTTATGATCTACTTTGTATATACACAAAACAGCTGCCACCACACATGCCCAGTGGAAAAACCTAAAAACAAGAGGGGCCGAAGCAGAACTGAGCATGCTCAGTGGTTTACAGTTTGGAGAAATTGTCCATATTGTGAGACATTTCGGCTTGAATGCTAAATGCTGCTGTTTTGGTCACAAATGTTATGTTGTGATGATGCTGGTTTCTGATTTTTGTATAAAAGCCTAACGTCTGACAATGTCAACACACTGCACTGAATCTGCTACTGTCTGCTCCCCTCGACTCTCATATCTGTACCAGCAGTAGCAGTAAGCCATGCAAACACCATTCAAATCTGACCCCGTCAAAGTCTTCTTTCAAGCCCATGCAAATCACCAGGACCACAGGTGCAAAGAACAGCTGAAACATACGTTTTTACACCTTTTCCAGGAAAACCAGAGCAGCCAGAAGCCCAGAAGGTGATGCCAGTGTATATGTTAGGACACTAAATTCCAACAGTGAAAAAGTAGTTTTGAGCTGCATGCATTTATCATGTGTTTGCATCAGCTCTTCTCACCTTCTTGAAGGTCTTCCTCTTCGATGCAGCGTCCTCTCCTTCACTGAAGACCTCATCGCTCTCTGCTGAGGAGAAGTTGATGGAGGAACAAGAGGAGCTGGAGGAGGAGTGCAGCAGCCTGGAGAGGACTGGATGTGGGGAGGACCACTGATGTGCGGTGGAGCCCCTTGTCAGGTCTGGCAGGTCCTCGGCCTCTTCATCCTCCCCATCAGGGATCTCCCCCCCATCTTCCCCCTTAACATCTAAAGATCTCCCCCTCTCTTCTTCCTCTTCTTTATTCCTCCCTTTCTCAAAACTGGACTTTCTGCCTTTCCAGTGTTTCCCCTCACCATCAACGCTTTCCTCGTCATCATGCCTCCTTTCTTTCCCAGTCTCGTCCACTCTTCTTTTCCCACTCCACCTTCCTCTGTCCCAGCTATCTGTGTCTCCTTCATAACTTCCCCCTAACCTCTCCGTCCTCCTCCACCTCCATTTTGCCTTCACTCCATCCCTTGCACATCTTGAGGTCAACTCTTTTTTCCTTTCTGTGTTTTGAATGTCTTCCCCCAAATTCGGCTGGAAAACCTTGCTTGACTCTGAGTTTTGCTCGTTGTCCCACTCTCCGTCCTCCTCTCCTAGTCCACCTATACATTGACTGTAAGGGGGGAAGCTTTTTGTTGAGTGGAGTCTGGGTCTGGATCTCACTCTGACTCCCCAGGAGCTGCTGGACGGCCCTTCACCAATCGACAGATACTGGTGTGTCTCATCTGACAGTCTGGCGCAAGAGTCGCTCTCCAAAGTTTGCTCGTTCTTTCTTTCCATCTTCGTCCCCTCCATGTGGTTTTCATCTGTGGTGTCCATCTTTGTGTCCAGTGAGGAACAGAGATGGTTAATGTGCTCCATGAGTCCAACATGTGCTGGTACAACAGGGAAATGTTTAACAAGAGATGCACAGTTTTGAATGAGGAAATTCATTTACAAGTCTAAATTAAACAAGTACAACCTTTCTAAACTTCCGTTGAAACGACACGAATAGTAAAACGATACTACCAATGTTCATGTGTGTCTATGTCATCTTACCTCACCTGTGTCCTCCACTTGTTAGTTTTCAGTGACATAAAGCCTGGAGCCCGTCACTGACCGACATCCCTCTCTCACTGTCTCTGCTGGTGACATGTTTTGCATGCTGTGACGTTATTAAGTTTCCAAAGCTGCTGGAGTTTGGCCAGTGGTGCCACAGGTCAGCAGGACATCCAGGAATGACAGCGTCAAACAACAAGAAGCAGAGTGTCCTCCCGCCAATAATAAATGCTTTATTGCAACAGGCAAAAAGAATGTACATTGGGATTACATTTTTTCATGTCGTAAATAAGATGCACAGGGTGTCTCACAATGTTTTCATCATACTTTTACATTGTAACAAATGACAACATTTTAAAGTGACATGTCAGCCAGTGTGGTAGTGATAATATGCAAAAGAAACAGTTTCACAATCTTATATTTTACAGCTGAAAGAGAAGAGGAGGAGCTGGTCAGTAATAAGAATTTTAATAAATGTTAGAGCATGCTATGAAGACCCAAAGTGTTAGATTAATAACAAATTTTGAAATAAATACAAATGCAGTTTTATGAAACTGTATGAAACACTAAATACGACTTTGTCACCTCAGCTCAAATTGTATTCCACCTCGCTTCCTCATTTTTATGTAATTCTTACAGTTTGTACAATACAAGTGACACTTCTTTTTCATTTCATTACACCATATTTTAACACAAAGTCTTTCTCTGTTAATCAGGACAAGCGAAACTGACACAGAGTGACAGTTCACTCATTCAGACCAAACTAACTCTCAGTCACATAACTGGCTCTGACTGTTGTTTAAAAAAAAAGCACTATAAACTCAAATGGGTATTGGGGGGAAAATGTCATTGTTAAAAAATAAAATGAAAACTTTTGGGGGGGAAAAAACAAAACAATTTTGAAATAAAAACTGCTGGAATGAAAAAATACCTACAAAAAAATCAGTTATTGTGAAAAGAAGCACAACAACAGAAATGTTTAAAATTTTGAGGTACTTGTACTTTACTCTGGTAAAACTTTCCATTTTAAACTTCTTTGTACTAAAAGGGATTATTGTATTTTTTACTTTGCTACATTGATTTGACAGCTGCAGTTACTTGTTAATTTCCAGATTAACATTAAAACATCCTAAACACTTTACAATTCATCTTTATAAATTTAAGTGCGCAATAACATATACATATGGAATAATTAAAATGAGCTTCACCTCAACCATCTGTGACATTACATGTATTTGCTGGTCACACTTGTATTTTGAATGCAGCACTTTTATTTGATTTCAACATTTTACTTAAATAAAATGATTAGTTAATATTTAATATTTTGTCCGCATTTATTCAGGTGTTTCTTTATTTCAAAAGGTCTTATGCAGTTATTTAATAATGAACACCTTGGGTCTCCATAGCAGTAAACACAAAACCATGACCAATAAATGCAAAGTAATAAAAAGGCATCGGAAATGAAAGATTTATATCAAGAGATGAGGGTTCAGATGTGTCAGTCAAAGGGTCCTAAGCTCGAACACAAGTGATAGTCATAAGGCAGGGCGTGGAGTGCAGGGTGTAGTTTTTCTGAGTCATTTTCCGCCACATATCAGTCTTAAATCTACATCTCACCATCAGGATTACACATAACACTTTCTCAACATCTTTCAGTAATGACCTGAGGCTGCCTCTGATTCTTTTTTTTCACCCTGACCAAGTTTATTTCCATTCTGCAGCTCTGTGCCATTGCCAAAGGGCAAATGGGGTTCCTCCGGGCTTAGATCTGTGGGACTTATCTGGCAGGGACCCAGCAGCTCTGTGGTACCTGTCAAATGATTTGTTTCTGCAGTCAAACACACTATAGCACACTCAGCATTTTCAGTACCAAGTGACTAATGCAAATATCTTAAATAACGATAAAATCATGTGTGTCTGTGTTATTTCTGTGTACCCGCAGGAACATCTTTTTCATCCTCTTGCTTGCTGTTTGCGTTCTCCTCCGTGCTCGACAGCAGCCCATATGTTCTGCGCTGCAAACAGCAAGGAGACAGATGAGTCTGAGCTACATCACCTGGAAGGCAACAGCTAATAATTCATGCTCACTGAGACACAAACTCATGAAGTGTGCAGCTATAGACTGAGTCGCGCCTCTCACCGTCCGTGGGCCCACATTCATCAGCACCCTCACGTAGCTGAGGATGAAGAGGATGCTAAGGAAGACAAAGTTACTGGAAACGCCAACCAGGGCTGATAAGACAGGGAAGTAGAAGAGCAGGTATCTGATATGGGGACACAGAGAAAAACAAAACAACATGCTGTTACAGATTTGCAGGTCTCACTGTGTTTTGGCTCCACAGTGTCCCAGTTTGACTCATCTGCTTCAGTGGGTGAGTTCCTATAATTCCCTTCAACAGCTCACAGAGAATATATCTGATTTTGCTGTATGTGAGTTATAATTGTAGGCGGAGGCTTTAATCAACCAAGAGAGTACATTTTTCCACTGAAGAGAAGTGAGAGTCTCTGCTACTCAAACAGTTTTTGTGGTTGCATCTGTTGCATTCAGGTCGAGTAGTATCAGTGCTGAGAAATGTGTGTCTCTTCCTCCTCTACTTATTGTTCCAATTTCACTATTGAGTGCTGTTTGAGTTCTGCCAAATGAGTGTAAACATGCGTGGACTATACGCTGCATGTCCTATAAATAAAAGACCCCCACACTGGGTTGTTTTCTTGTGTCTCTTCAGAATTGTGTTGCATCTCTTTGCAGTTGTTTTGTGTCTTCGTATTGGCCACTGGGACTTTCCAACAAGCTTACGTATATGCATTGGAAAGTCCCATGATGCCCCAGGCCACTTGGTCTGCATCTGTTGGGCCTGTTCAGTAATCCAAAAACCACAAGTTTTACAACACTGCTAACACATGCTCTGTGACAACTACTAATGTAACGTGATGTCTTGTTGTCATTGTCAACAGGCTGACTGAAAAGACACAAACTCTACTTAGACTGGATAAACTGACAGAATATGTTTCATCAGGGACTGCCAGTGGCTCAATGGTTAGCACTGTCGCCTCGCAGCTAGAAGATCCCCGATTTGCGTCCTGGTTAGGACGCCCAGGATCTTTCTGTGTGGAGTTTGCATATTCTCCACATGTTCTTGTGCAGCGTGGGTTCTCCGGCTTCCCCCCTAAAACATGTTGAGGTTAGTTGGTGATTCTAAATTGTCTGTAGGTGTGAATGTGAATGTGCTTGATTGTCTGTCTCTAAGTGTCTTTAACTGTGGTCCAGGCTGTCCCTTTATTATGCATTTCATTATTTTTATAGATATCATAATAATATCATTCTCAGTGACATCAGTTTAATGTCATAAAATGCTGTATTGGTACAGCTGTGTGTGTTATGTAACGAATTCTTACCTTATTCCAGTGAAATGAGCATGAACGTACAGCTGAGATGAGTAGATCTGCACTTTGTTGGACAGAATCTCGATGACAGCCGTGACCGAGGGCGCATACTGAACACAGAGAAAAACCTGTTAGGCTGACTGTAACAGAACACTCGATTGCTGTTTCCCCATCAGTACCCAGATATTACAACTCACAGGGTCATCGGTGTAATCTGAGAAAAGCTCCACGTCCAGCACTTGTCTCTGCTCAGCTGCTCCGGTCAGAAAGGCTGGGAGGAACAGTAGCGTTCCCAAAGTCCTCAGCAGGTCTGATCTGTATCGCAGCATGCTCTGAACCCAACAGAACAACACAGGCCCCTTGACATACATCTCACACCTTGTTGTTTCAGTCTCCTCTATCTTCTTTCTTACATATGGGTGATACGCATCGTTAAAAAAAACATGAGTGCTGGCAAATGAATGATTAGAAAAAGATGATTGATGCTGCCATGATTGTTGAGACTTTAGCTCCAGTATAACTCTGATTGGGTTATGTGCTCACTTTAATAAACAACAACAGCTGATCTCAGACTCCAGTGTTAAAGAGGTCATTGCTTCAGTGTTTAAAATAGGCTCATTTGTTTGACTGATATATGTTTGTAGCATACATATGGTATGAATGTACGTGGAGATGCAAATGTATTTACAACAATTATCTTTATGATTTAATGCAGTTTAATACAAAAACACCTCAAACAACCCTCTAAAATACTGTCGTGGCTTCAAAAGAAGTATTTATTAGAGGATTATTGCACTTGTTTGCATTACAATGTTTTTCAGTGTTTAAGTAACAGAACTCACATCTCCATTCATTAGGTTATCAATTGACATGTTTGCCCTGTCATCTCGATCCCCTGAGCACTGAGATCACCTTCTGTTGCAGTTGAACACAAGCATAAGCAGCGCTAATCTGGCTCTGACCAGGCTGTGTGATTAATTATGTGTCAGCGCTGTACTCACAAAGCGAGAGCTGGAGGCGGACAGCAGTTGTCTTGCCTGAGAAACACACAGCAGTGCAACAGTGAATCACTGCGATTGGCACAAACTAGTAATCAACCACTATTTGATTGTATGCACACACATTGACAAGCTGAACGAATATTAGAGCAAATTACCGAGCGAGCAGAGGAGGCAACCTGCCCTCCCTCCTGAGAGAAACAGGTTGTCTTGATCATAAACATCCCCAGATCCTGATTGGTTGGAGAATCAGGCACCTCTAGCCGCAGAGAGATCTGATAGGCCTGGCCGAATGTCAGCACCTGAATATGCATCCAAACATTATATTGTTTGGATATTTCTTAAGAATGTGTTAAGGTTTGACACACAGTATACACACACATACACACACATACACATACATGCTTCCTGTTTCTCATCAGAGAGATGTTGGCCAGAGGATAAGAGCACAAAAAAGAGGCTGGAGAGTCACAGTCTGTCCTGCAAACAAAGACATAAACTAGTGAGTGATGGAAAAAAAATACAGAATACAAGGAGTCATACAAGAATGAAAATACATAAAAACTACATTTTGGCAGACACAGCTGGACTGGACTTGACATACACACCTGTAGTAGTAGTGCACAGGTGCTGAAAAGGCCGCCTTGGGCATGTAGGAGTAGTAGAAGCTCCCGTATAAAAAGGCGGCGAGCCAGAGGAGCAGAAAGACAATAGAGAACACAATGAAGCCCTGTACGACCCTCTGACGGGCCCGTGCAATCGCCATGGCAACAGCATCCTGGAACCTCAGCAGTGCCTGACCAATGAGGACTGATGGTTCTACATTCTCCCCTGAATGCAAATGGCTTTCTTGATCCATAAAATCTGAAATCAGATAAAAATGAAGGAACATTCTGAGAAACAGATAAAAGGAACACACTGTTTACTGTTATATGAGAAGTTTTCCAGAAATAAAGACACACTGATCTTTGTATGAAGTCCCCAAAAGTGAGCGTGGATAATAATGTTAAAGCATGAGTCTTCACATTCATACAAGATCTGCAAAACCACTGAGTCCAATCACAGTCACAAGCAGAGGCCTTAAATGTCAGATGATTCCAAATTGTGTCAACATTTTTATATATTGCATGTTTCCAGAAGCAATGAAGAAACTAAGAACTGTGTATCAGTTTGTTTCTTTTTTTGCACAGTATGTATTGTGCAAGGTTGGTGAACTTGTGGCATTTAGTTCTCAGTGGAAATCAAATGTCTGTAAAGTTAAACTTTTTAGCTTGTGTAACGAAAGATTGATGTTTAATCACTAAGACAGGGAAGGAACTTGCTCAACACATGAAAAAACACTGACGCACAAATTTTCAGGTCAAGCGTTAAACTGACAAGAATCACGCTGCGGTTAAGTTAAAGTATTTTTGAATCAATATCCAAAACAAAACTGGAAAGGAAGCAGCGGAATTAAAACATTTGTTCAGTATATCAGCAGCAGCGCTCCTTTAACAGGCATCTGTCTTGCTATAAAAACTCACCTCTGGTTTCTGTTGGCCAACAATGAGCTGTTAGGAAATCACTTGTCCTTCTCCTGAAGTCGCTGTGTCCACGTCTTGATGAAATGCGAAAACAACTCCCCTCAGTAACTTATCCTTAGTGCCTCTAAAGCTGCCATTGGATGGGAGTAAGTCCATCCCACATAAGGGGAAATGCTGCCAGCTGGAACAGAGTTGAACAGGATACTGAGACAAGGGAGAAGTGTAGTAACCTTGAGAAATACTAGAGAAATATATATTCAAAATGAATGCAATATTGCAAACTACACTGTGACCCATCAAAATGTTTTAATGACACTAGTGGAAATAAAACTTCTCCATACTGGCTGGGTGTTTCTATATGTGACACTGTGTTATGCATGTTTACGTGTCAAATTCATGTCTTATTTTCTTGTTTTTGTTTCTTCATTGCTGCAAAATGGTCTTCAGAGCTCTAAAATCTCCATATTGTGCATCGTTCCTAATTTCTTAAAATTCATTTAACTGAGGTTCCTCAGGAAAAAAATACTCTCTATTTAAAAACAAACAAAGAAAAAGGAGCAACAATGGAAATTTGCAGAAATACCAGTCACTTTGATCCAGAAAACTGAATTAGAGAATGACTGAATGGATGAAAATGTTGATGTGAGTGTTTCTTATATTCAGGGAGATGTTACTATACACTTAGTTGCCAGTTTATTAGGTACACCTACATACAACAAATTTTTCATTTGTTTATTCATTCAGTCTTTATCTACAAGCAAAATACATTGATGGAGGCCTCATTTACAGTATAGCCACGTAAGAAAATGAAAGATGCCGAAGCCAAACAGGAAACTTAGATAAGAATGACAATAAAAATATTAAGTCAAAATTACTCAAATAATAAAAATGTATATATAATAAAATTAGAACATTTAGCAATTTGAACCAACCGAAACACAAGAAACTGCAGGTAAAACAGGATGAAGTTAAAAATCTTTAATTGCCCTAAAGAAAAAAAATGAGTCAAGCTTTCGATCATTCTGCAGCTTATTCCAGGTTACATGTGCACAGTGAGTAAAATAGGATTTTCCAAGCTGGTACCAGTAACGTATTCTTATCATCAGAGCATGTCTGGGTTCACATTAAAACCCCGAAAGAACAGAAGATGTAAGGGAGTAAAAAAAAAAACACAAACCTGTAAGAAATTTCAAAATAAATAAAACTTAGTGTGTATCATACCTTACTGAGAGTGAGGGCCATCTAACCTTAGCATACAGCTCAACATTGATAGAAAAGTTGCCTCAATAGGTGCCTTTTTAAATTTTATTAAATACGCTTCAAGTTTTTTTTTTTCTGGTTTAATTTAATCATTTTTAATTATTCTATAAAACTTGTATGCACTTCATTCAACTTGTCTGTGCTGTTTTTTAATCGTTTATATCAATTAATTTCATCTTGTAATTTCTCATTTAATTTTTTTACATTTTAAAATTGTGTTTTTATTTTTATCTTTGCCTGTAAGCACTTTTAATAATCCCTGTGTGATAAAGAGCTCTATAAATAAACTTGCTTGCCTGCTTCTAAAATGAAAAAACCTGATTTATTCCTGGAAAAGATGTCAGTTTTTGTCTTAATTTAGTCACCACTTTGGATCTTGATATTTAAATGTCAGCTTCTCATCAGTTCAAATTTCAAGATATTCGTAGTCTGTGACTCTTTCAACATTCTTACCTAATCACTGTCCTGCTGTTATGCTGTTGAATCGTATCGGTGTTATTCAGACATGTGCTTCATCAGTGAAGGTAGGTTAAGTAAAATAAACGTCAAACTATAGCTCAGCCACCTATATATTTAAAAATGATTGCACAACACCTCTCTGAACTGAACAAAAGCTCAAAGGCAGGATTGATGTATTACTCTGCTTTACTGCATATTACGCATCACATTTGTTAAAAAAAAGCTCAAATAAAGTTGAATGAAACACATTTCGTTCTGACACCACTCTAAAACTAGCACATGAAGGAGAGAAGACAAAGAATGAAATTGAGAAAACAAGACAACAAGAAAGAACCAAACAGAGAGAGGAACTATTCGTTCACCCAAAGGGGGCGCCATCTTGTAGAGGAACACAGAAAACCCGCCAAAATGCATTTGAGCGGAGAAGAAGAAGCTCTCCTCCAATCAGACGCTGCTCCTGAAGCTAACCGGAAACAGTCCCGTTTCATTTCACAGTAGCATCACGAGAACTGCAAAAAGGTAATTCGTGCTCTTCAGATGTTCTTATAAGCTATTTAACGCAATGCTTAATAATGTTTCGGAGAAACTGAGAGCACACCGGTGCAAAATCTTCAATAGCCGAGGCATGCTGTTAATTTTAGGGAAAGTCTGCTGTGATTGTTGTCAGAGCTTCTATAGTTTGCCATGAGAAGCAGCTATTAAGCTGTAGACAGCTTCTGATAGAGATATTTTCCATAAACATTTTGCAAATAATATTCATTATACATAACAAACTGCCTGTAACGTTTCGTCAACTGAAGTTAGTACGATAACCAAGAGACACATCCAGTTAAACGATCAGTATATAAACCTATTAAACTTATAACAACAAACGCATAATAGAACCTCAGACAGAACCAGGTTTAGGGAAGGCGGCCATCTGCCTCGACCAGCTGGGGTAAGAGTGGGGACAGGGGATACAATATATTAAAATCAAACAAGAGCTGACAGGCAACCAGTGTGAGGAGTTTAAAATAGGATTTAGTGCTAAGACAGCAGAATGATAATCAACTGATTTATAACTTTTTTTTAAGTAGACCAGAAAATCATCAATCCTGCTAAGAGCATCCACTGTGCTGTCCATGTTATTAAGATAAAACTATGATACTGAATCATGAGTGACACCTGCAATTAGTAAATTACCCTAGTTATTCTCATTCAGAAAAAAAAAAGATGTAAGGTTGCTAAGGCTGATCTTGCTGTGTTTGATAAAATAACAAAGTTTAAATAGAAGAAAAGAATGTCATGTATTCTGTCCTCTGCTGTCTGCAGGATGTCCTGCAACACCAGTGTTACTCGTCTTTGTGCGCCATCAGTGGGCCAGGCACAGCAAGTCACCGTCCATCTCATGCCCTGTGAGATTGAACACAATGGGCCGGCTCTCGTCTCACAATACCTCACTGCTACCACAAAAGACAACAAACAAGGTACAGAGAATATAGTGTATCTGCAATGTTTAAAACCTCTCTACGAATAGGCTTAGGCTAACTGTTACTAGGTCAATTTGCAGCTCATGGAAAACAGTGGTGAAGATAAAACCCATAAAGATACAGATGCAAATGATCACCCAATGTGTTGATAAAATGTTAACATGACCAATTTCCAGTTCTACAAGTTTTGAGGCATTTTTTACTGCTTTGTCTAAAAACCACTGGTCCCAATATGACACATTTGTGACTGGGGTATTTGGGGACAGGTGTTCAGCTTTGGCAATGATTATTTGTTCTTCAGTTTTTTTCTTACGAACAAAACATAATTATGTTCGCATACAAGCTGTAGCTTTTATAAGATGATTTATGAATATTTAATTTTACTTTAATGATGAATGGTGTAGGACCTTAAGAAGTCATACTGAATAGATTTTTTAAAAAACGTTTGTATCAGATATTTTACCTCTTTGTAATTTGAGCTGAGAAAAGCCTTTTCTAACAACAGTCCTCAATGCTTTTGCTCATTGCAGAGAAGATGGTGTCATTCAGAGGGCGTGGGTTGAAGGGGCAGGAGCTCAGCTGTCCACAGGGCTACAGTGGCCTGGTGCTGAAAGAGATCAACAAGCCTGGCTCAGACCAAGAGGTAAGCACAGCTGAAGTCATCTTTCACATCACAAATACTGACCAGCAGTCGGGGCTATTCACACATAAGTTACAGCTCATTCATCAGTTGTATGTGTGAGGATTTTGCTACGATGGCCACCTGAAGTTAAATTGTGTGTGTGTGTGTGTGTGTGTGTGTTCAGGACAGGACAGTGAAGGTGTCTTCTGTGTTTGACAAACTGACTTACTGGAACCTTGAGACGCCTCCAAATTCAGATGACACAGTGGTGATGGCGATGGATTGGCCTGAGCTGGCTGAGGCGGTGAGTTTCTTTGGAATCTTTTAGTCAAAGAAAAGACTACCCGTGTCACCCAGTAATTCAATGTTTTATAAGGTGTTGTTACTTTGAGCAAGATACATGTTTTGCGGTGATCTAAAAAATTTAATTTGTGAGATTTAGAGACCCTTGATCACACATTATGCAGGCTATAGTTTAAGATGAGTTAATTTATGTAGTATGTGACAATAGTTCACCTTTAAACAGGTTTTTATCAGAAATTTAGTATTTTAAGACAGTTTACACTCAGTTGTAGTGACAAATAATCAGTTGTTTATTTAAAGCAGAATTAACAACATCATTCTTCATTGTTAAATGTTCTTATGTCTGATTTGTTTGGTAAAGCTGCGGCTCCTTTCAATCAGAAAACATATCCATGTAAATTATTTGTGTCCTGATGCAGAGCTTTTCTTGTGTTGGGATAATCAAGCCCGCTCCACCAGAATGAATTACTAGCAATATTTTTATTCACAAATAGATGTTGACATCAGTGCTAATAAAATGAATTCTACAGGCTAATACATTTTTGTGTCAGCCAGTGTATTTCAGTTACAACTGAGTTCACATGCTCTTTTGATTATTTTTTATTTTTACCTTTGTTTCTTTTTATTATGCTAGTTTTCATTCAGATGGAGGGCAGCCTTATTTAGATGCTTCATTAGGGCTCCTAGGTATTGTATGTAAATGAAAATTTACAAATGTAAATTAATATTGAAATTCTCCTTGAGGCAACTATTGTGTGAAGGTTAGAGGAGAGTGTACTTCCTCTTAAATATAGTGAGACATATAATAAATAGGGTTGCAAAGTCCAGAAAACACCATATTCCAAATAGGTTCAGGTTTAGGGTTCACACTAAACACAGTCTTAAGTGTTAGATATTTGTTAAATGTGGGCAGGACCAGAACACACGAGCCCACATGTTCATGATCAATACGATATGACCAGTAGAGAATATGGCTTACAAAGAAATTGCAGGATTCCAGATTTTCTGTTGAAACGGTGTGTTTTATTGTTTCTTTTCAGCTTAACAAATACTTTCAAAACTGACAAAAATGGCAACACTGACAACAATATTTCATTAGAATATCATTTGGTCTAAATACAAAGACACAGAGCAGATGGATTTGCAGGTGGATGCTGATATTTTGTTTCTTCACAGATCCACGGGCCAGTAGAGGACTGAAGAGACTAACACAAGTTTCCGTAAAGAGGTGATGGACTGATGTCTCCTCAGCGTGTTACAAATGCAATGTACAGTTTGCTGGTTACTGACCAACACCTGTAAAAAGCTTTTGAAATACTAACCTGTTCAATAATTGTTGCTCGTGTAGAGCAGTAAGTGACAATTAACGTTTATAGTTTTTATATATGTTCTTTTGTAGTGAAATAAAGAAAAATATAAGACAACACTGAATAATCAAAGTGTGCATTGTGTGACTCATGGAAAAATTAATATATTTTAGTTTGTTTCTACTGGACAGTGTTTATTAACAAGGTAACATTTAGATTCTGCACACTGGCTACTATAAAACCCCCTAAATAATCACTGATTTAATTGTCCCTTCTGAGTATCTAGTTTAAAAGTCTTGGATGTGTATGGTCCTACCGACAAATATGAATTTGTTATTATACAGAAACTGTCCCAAACGGGGAAAATTGTGCAGAACAAGAAATTACAAAGTGTCAAACAGTCATTTAGGCACATTTAAAATGTAAATTTAGACATTTAAAAACAAGGTAGAAAACTGCATATGTTAAAATGTGCTCATACTGTTATATCAAACTATAGAAGGTGGATCCCCAGACTTATTCAATCCTCCTCCCTCATATCATCTGATAATCTACCAGAGAATGTAGGCAGGAAGTTCAACAAACACACACATTTTCTACCCCTACTAACCTTTAACTGAGCCTGATGGAGATTGTGGTCTATTAAGTAGGTGGCAAAATCATAATGTTGGACAAGACAAGCACAGTGCTACTAGACCCCAACTTAACTTAGAGTAAACTATAACTTATACAGGCCACAGGAAGTAAACACATTTATGGTTATTTGTGGGGCAGCAATGTTATTGGTAAGAGATTGTCCAGTTACAATATAAATAAAAAAAACACATTCTCCTAATATTCAGAGAATTCAATCAGTTGCAACTCATATATTTGTGGATGAGTGGCCTCATCCTGCTCATATTAGGCTTTTACAGCACAGGAGATAAAGGGAGAAATGACAGAGATAAAAAAAAAAAGATCATTTGGCACAGCTTATTTCCTACTTAACTGAGTAATTCTAATGAAGTGGCATAAAAATGGATGAAAGCCAAAGCTCCAATTACAAGTTACATAATGGCACAAACTGATTCTAACGTGACAACTTGCAGGTATTTGCTTCTATGTGAGCAACTCTGCTGGTTTCATATTGTAAATAAAACACTAGACAGTACAATGCTACTGTGATTACAATCAGTCAAACTTCGCTGGCACAGAGTCACATTAAAAGGGCAGTCATACAATCTACAGTTGTTTTAACTTGAAAAATACAACAAACACTTGGTGTAGGATGTCTTTGAAACGTTATAATACATCTCCTGAATCATCCCTTCTTACAACAATGATGTGTGTGATCACTGTCATGCCCACACAACTGTGTTATTATGACAAAGATATTTAAAAATGACAAACCTCGACTGTAAATTGTCTCTTAATATTACAAAGAGAAGCACAAAAGCACAGGTGTTGAAAGTCCGAGTAGACAATGCTCATGTAGCTTGATGGATAAAGGCAAGTATCACTGCCACATGGCTGGTGTTTGCTGTGATGTGAACTGTTCATTGTTTGTGTTTATCACATGCCATCGACAGAACAGAAAGCCAAGGTGTCGGTGGAGTGTTCAGAAGAATAAAAATGTGGAAACAAGACAGTAATTGGATAAACTGAGGTTTGAGTTAACCTGTGGCACAAATAGTGGCAACTGTGTGAGTCACCTTGGAATATTTTTGGTCATTTTTAACTAATTAATATTTGAAAATGCCTCATTCTTTTAAAGAAGTATTATATGTAAATATGTAGTATCAAATATGAATGTAGGTTAAAAAAAAATGCAACTCTTGAGGTAAGAATTAGTTTTGTTTGGGTAGTACCTACAGCTAAAAAAGAAAACATTTAAAATAGATAAATAAAATCAGAATTATGTACATTTACAAAAGGGGCTGAAATGAAGAAGCCTGATATTCTAAAATACAGTCATGACTCGATAATCCGACACTAAATGTAAACCCTTCTTCTATGTAGGATAGCAAGGCTGTCAGATTGTCGAGACGAAGGTCGAGATACAAGGAGGGCTTGATGCTTGAAGGGTAATTTGTTGTTAATTATTGTTCATAATTGTTATAATAACTAGTGGGACTGGTCTGAATCTGTCAGATTGTTTAGTTACACAATACCTTGTTATCCTTATTTGTGACATAAAATGTCATGTCGGAGTTGGAATCCAAGGCTGTCGGTATGTTAAGGCTATTTTTTTATAGGTTCTGTTCATTTTTCCTAAAAACCTGTCAGATAGCAAGGTTTTTGGATTGTTAAGGGCCGGATTATTGAGTCATGACTGTAAATGTATTAATTTCACAAAACAAACATTGATAAAGACCTGTGGATACAATTAAAATGTTTCAAAGACAGTAAACAACGTTGACCACAACTGCTTAAAGGAAACTCGGTGGAGCTGCAACAATCAGTCTGTAACTGTTGAAATAATTACTAATTACTTCACTGTTTTGACTCATTTAAAAAAAGAAAAAAGCTCCTACAGCTTCTTAACAGTGACATTTTTCAGGTACCTTTATATATTTGACGATAGTTAAATATTTTGTAGTCCTACTCAATTTAGATTTAAAAGGTGGAACCAGAGCTTGTTTAAAGTTCATGAATGTGTGTTAAAGTACAGAAATGAACAGTGAGTCTGTTGGTGCGTTAGCTGAGAGGTGGTGGAGGTGGTTGTGGTGGCAGGGAGGGCTCTGTGTCTGCCTTGCTGCGTTTGGCGGGCAGAGTGTGGTCATGAGCTTTGCGAATGTGTCGGTACAAGTCGCCTGATTGTGTGTAGCTTCGGTAGCAGTAGCGGCACTCATATGGACGTTCGCGGGTGTGTACGATGGCGTGGCGCCTTAGAGTGTATGTGCAAGAGAAAGTCTTTCCACAGACCCCACATGTCGGGACGTCCTCTACAAAGTTCCCCACTGAGTCCTGGAAGTCCTGGAAGTAGGCTGGAGCGTCTGAATGCTGTTGAGATGTGGATGGAGGAATGAGGGAGGCGGCGAAGGAGGAAGTGTCCTGCGAGGAAGGTCCGGCTCCGGAGGAGGAGGAGGAGGGAGAGAGAGGGAAGGAGTAGTCATTTGAATGGGAGGTCATTTGTAAGAGCCCCTGTGAGTGGGAAGAAAGAAACTGAGGGCTGTTTAGCTCATCTTCCTGAATGTCGTCGTCAAACTCGTCGTCCACTTCCATCACTGGCTCTTGCTCTCTGTTGTCCTCTTTCTCGTCCTCTAGCTCTTCGTCAGATATTACAATAGCCTCCATTTTGACTTTCACATTCTCTCGATCATTGCCTGTCTTCACTCTGCCCATAAGAGGGCGAGATCTTTCATTTCTCGTGGTAGGTGGAGGTGCAGTGTTCCCCACAGTTCCCTTAAGCGTTTGTGTCTGAGGAGCATTGTGAAAGTTTGAACTCTGGCGTTGGAGCGATACAGCGCTCTGAATTCGGATTTGGGAAGGTGCATGCTGGGGTGCGGAGTGTGTTGGGTTTGTTTGTAAATCTGAGTTTAGAGTTGATGCTTGGATTAACACGACCATCTGTTGTCCTCTGCCTGTTGCACCTCTGTGGTCAGTTTCTGGGAGTTCTTGAACAGAGTCATCACGGAGCAGTTGGGGTTCATCCAGATGTGCACTTGGGGAGAGGCTGGATTCTAACTGGGGATGAGAAACCACAGGCCGACCACCAGCCTGGCTCACCAGGAACCGAGAGGAAGAAGATGAGGAAGAGGGCTGCTGGTTACTGCTTTGGCTGGTGAAAGATTGAAAGGATGACATAAACAACTTTTAGCAACAACAAATAATAAGAATGTCTGTAATCGCATGGATGAAGCTAGTACATATAGAGCATAATGCACTTTAAAGTGAAGGAATGCTTCAGGCCATAATTGTTTGACATGAAGAATGTGGAGCAATCAGATTTTTCTTTACTTCCAAAGTCAATGTATATTGTGTTATCTTAGTTATGTTGCTTCGATTTGAAAATCACATGTCAAGTAACTAATTGTGTATCAACAAGTTCTCGAATTCTCAAGATATTCAGAAAGCATTCAAAAAAACATTTGTTTTATTTTGTTAATTCAGGTAACAAAATTGCATATCATGAATCATAGTGTTAAAATAGCTCAGTGGCAATGCTGTAATGCCATCAGAAATAAGGAATTAGCAGGAAGTCTGGAAAATATACAAAATGTATAAAAAAAACCCTGTGATTCAGAAGATGGCATTTATGACAGCACCACATGGGAGCTGTACAAGTTGAGTAAACCATAATTCCAGGAATTCATTGTAAATAAAATCCATTGATTCAATGTTATTTCCTAAGTAAACAGACTAATAAGTTATTGCAGATCACACTGTGCTGTTCTTGACATCATTGTTTATTGCAGTGACACCTATACCAAAGCAATTTCAGAATTTTTTTAAATGTTTCTGATTTATCATTATTAATGTTCTTTTATCATGTATTCCTCTTTCAGCTCAAAGCATGCCATATAAGTACAGTTCTTGTTGGGAAAAGGATCAGACTTGAGAATTCAGGCCACGAATCACAAACGTTTGCACAAAGAAAATACTTAGAGAACTGAGTAAAACTGTGTAGAAATCAACAACAAATCCGTACCTGTACATCTCAGTGGTGCTACAGGGGCTGCAGAGCGCTGACCCATCTTCCTGACCCCGAGTCCCCAGCCGGGCATGACCTCCAGAGGCAGGAGTAGACTGACCTACGATGAGGCCCTGCACGTGTTCTCTGCCTGGAGCCAGAGGATGGATGTCCATGCCTGGCTGGGTGGTATCAGCGAGGTCAGGGCTCAGAGGAGTCTGAACTCGTACCTCTGATGACGCCCCACAAGTCCTCTGCTCAGACTTCACAGACTCCACCTGCCTCCTCTCTATTGAAACTGATAACAGTGGCGTTGCTACGGCTGGATTTGACTGATCTCCAGCCATTGCCACCATAGGGTCAGCTCCACCATCGCCTCTACCTTCCCTTTCCATTCCTATTGCCTTCCTCAAACCAGCGCTCTCTTCAGAGCGTGTGCTGTCAGCCTCAGCCACGGGCCCTCGTCTCTGCAGTCTCCTCTTGCACACTCTCACCACCTCGTTCATATGAAGAAAGCTAGCAGCTGCCAATATGTCCTCCACTGGAGGAGACTCTTCCAGCTGCAGCACACCTTCATAGACAAAGTCCAAGAGCAAGCCAAATGCAGCAGATGTGACAATGTCATTGTCAAGTGTGACAGAGCTGCTGGCGCTGTTTCCTCCTGGAGAGTCTGAGTAAAACATGTGGAAGAAAGGCGAGCAGGAGGCCAAAACAGCCCGGTGAGCCAGGAAACGGGATGAGCCCACCAGGACGGTACAGTCACAGAGGAAGCCCCGCTGACGCTGAGACCGCAGAGCTGACAGCAGCTGCTGGGAATGCTGAGGAAACTCCATCACCTGAGCAACAGACAAGATAAAAATAGGATCTCAACATCTGAACCTGGAGGCATTTGTATGAACAAAGAATAAATGACAATACAGTAATGCAAATTTGGACTAATGTAGAATATGTGATAATGGGAGAAATTATAACTGCTGACCAATACTATGCATTTATAAACATTAAAAATGGAATGTCCTTGTAGCTACAAACACTATTATCACGTGCTATAAGACAGTTATTGCATGTTTATTCCGTGCTTATAAAGGCGGGTTTGAAGTAAAATGTTACCCAACTGAGTGAATAAGGAAAGCACAAGAACCTCAGATTTGTGACAGTACCTGAGCACATGTACTTATTATGTATTATAAATGTACTTAGTTATTTCCCACCACTGACTTGGGCAAAAAGTAAAAGTGAGAAAGTTATTTTTTCTTACTTTCATTTTGGATACATTAGCCTGAAAGCTAAATGAATATTCCTTACTGCATTTCGATGGTACCATTAATTTACCGTCAGAACACAAGGTGTAAACTAAATATGAGACAGAAACAATGAAAACAAATAACAAATGAATCCAAAATACTCACGAAAAGTGACTGCGTGTTTCTCTCTCTAGGCGCCGTTCACTGTCAGTTTAATCTGTCGTTATGCTTTAACGTAGCTAACGTTACGTTTCCATGGTGACCAGCCTGAATTCTTCGGTCCAGTCCACTGACACCGTCTGTGTCCGGGAGCGAATCTGGATATAAGTGAAAATGCATACCGACAGGACAAGACATGCCAAGACGTGAGACAAAAACACGGCAAACAGCACGACACATCCCCTCGAAACTCCCAAATGCCGACGTTGTTCAGTCAGAACAGCAGGTAGCCCCAGCTCACCGATGCTAACATTAGTTAGCCAAGTTAGCTCAGCCTGTGTGTTAATTTCCTGCAGCTCAGAGGCTACATGAGCTGCGAGTTAGCGTTAGCGAAACCGCCAATACTGTAGCTGGGGTGCCTCATATGTTTCGTGGAAGTAATGGACGTTTTCTTACCTGCAGCCACTCAGACAGCAGCTGTCTGAGTGATGTTTTCCTCCAGGAACAGACAAGGTGCAGCTTTTCCTCTGTGGTGCCAGTTTCCCGCAGCACAGGCCGCCACAGTGCCACCTACAAACGGAAAAGTGGAACAGACAAGGAAGTGGGAGCTAGCTGGACGTTTGTTGACAGCAGTTTACCGACCAGTGTATGATATTCTGTAGCATCAGTACACTTATGACACCACATACAACAAGTGGTGAATGACTGAGCTGCCTGTGTTTTAATGGACAGTGCCAGAGGAGGGAGAGGAGGCAGAAGAGGAAGAGGGAGGAGGGGAAATCGTGGTGGAGAGGTGAGAGATTATAGCCCTATTAACTGAGATTAATAGTGTCCCATCTCTTTAATAGTTTAGACTCATGACACGTCTGTATTCAATGTCAGACAGCCAGTAGCCTATGAATGGTTTAGTATGGTAAAGCGTGGGTCCTATATTTAAACCAGAGCTATAATTAGAGCTGAGTGTGTGTGTGTGTGTGTGTGTGTTAAGTGATGCCTTCTCCACCACCAGGACAGAGATGTCTGCCTGTCTAAATCCATGTCTTATGTGCTTCGCCATGGAGCCAACCAGATGGGGGGGTTTAAAAAAAAAAAAGGAGGGGTGTTTTTTTTTTTTTTTTTTTTTTTTTTTTTACCGTGAAAGCAAGCACAGACCTTTGATTTATTTTTCTATTTCAATACAAAATCTTTCAACAGATTCTTTTTTTTTTTTTTTTTTTTTTTACCTTTTTTTTGGGTTTTTTTTTTGCTGTCAGGTTGGTTGAAACAAATATAACAGCAGGAAATGCTTTGTATAGGCTACTTTAAAATCTGACAGTTACAAATCTTGTACAATAGGCTGATGCAGTTATAAGATAAAGATAAGATAGATAAGATAAATCTTTATTATCTTTGTACAGTCATACTTTTGTACGATAGTACAATGAAATTAGCTTCTTATCCACAATGCTGCTAAAAAAAGGACATGCAATTGTGAAAGATGAGCATATACAGTTCACCTAACTTATCAGATATGTCAAATAAGCAATTAATAAACGTTATGTACTGTTATGAATATTTTAAAAAAAGAATAAGAATAAAGATTATGTACATCATATATAAACAATATATACATAAAAACTATCAAACTAGATAATGTGCAGGGTAAAGTGACTCAATGTAAAATGAGCTGTAAAGTGCAGAGAATAGTTATTGTAACTACTGTAATTTAATTATGTCCTCTTTCCCCACTCAATAGATGTTTAAAAAATGCTTTACAATTGAACATGAAAACTTCATTTTTTTTGCAGTGAATTATTAACTGAAGGCATTGTACAAGAGGGAAAATCTGCTGTGGAAATGTAACCACAGTTAAAACAGCTCTCAACTCCACAGATGGCTTCCTGTTCGTGGAAGAACTCCTGACTCACCCGCAGTTCCGCTTGTACTCAGTGGAAGACATTGAAAGAGTCGTGGCCACAAATGACAAACAGCGTTTTAAGCTCCGTTCCCACCCAGAGGATGGTCGGCTGCAGATCCGAGCCAATCAGGGTCATTCAGTACAGGTATGCAGAGCAGTAAAGCCACACTGACGTAATACAGACTAAAGAAAAAAAATAATAAATGAAAAAAATGATGCAGATGCTTCTACATAGGTAGACTACATTGAACAATTAAGCAGTTAACATCCAGTCATTTGTGGCTTGTATAAAAATGCCGAACAGGCCCACTTGAATCTAATTTTGTTTTAAGATGGCATGAAGAAAAGATCTATGTAACTCTGAAAGTGGGTCCATGTTGGAGCACTGATGGCAAAAGATTCAGTCACAAATACTGCTCAACTGGGTAGTGTTTAAATAGGAACTGTGACTAAAGTGACGTCTAGATTTAATGTATGAAACAGACATCAGCAAACAAGATTTCTCATGTGACTGAGAATGTCAGTGCAGTTTGTAATCCATTAGTGAAACAATTAACAAAATATTTCCAACTGTATCTCTGGACATTGTTGCATTTGAGCACATTATCAACACGCACTTTATCACAAGGCACTTTACAGTCTGCTGCTGCTATGGTTGCTATGCTACTATATTTGTGTGCAGGAGAGTGTCTTGTTTTGTCTGGGAGAGAGGGGGGATTAGCGTTTTGTGTGGGGGGTGTAATGTATGGACTTGGGTGAGAGTGTATGAGGGAGAGAGGGTGGGCTGCCCTTGGGGCTGGGTGAGAGGGTGTGTGAGAGAGAGAGAGAGTATGAAGGGGGTTTCTTCTGTCTTTTTATATATATTTATTCATTTTTATTAGTCTCGAGCACTGACCAAGAGTGGCAACTCTAATTTCATTGTGTTTGATACTATGTATTTTATGCAATGACAAATATTGAATTTCCCTTCTGGGATAAATAAAGTATTTTTCATTCATTCATACAGCTTCTATTCTATTCTATTCTATTCTATTCTATTCTAATTGTCAAGTTTTCAGTTTAAAAGGGGTAACTGGTGTTTGGTGATTGTAAAAAAATAAATTAAAAAAAAGGCCCTGGGATATAGCCCCAACTCTGGTGCTAAGATTCATTCTCAGCTCTGACTAAATTTACTTTTTGAATCATTGAGAGTATTTGTAACAAAAACAGAAATTTCAGCTGAACAGTGAGCAGCAAAACCAAACCATTTTTCTTTACCAGATCTAATAAGCCTTTGTAAAGTTTGTCCTAAAGTTTATTGTCCTCCCATTTCAAACGATGTGTTAATCCTGGTTGCGTTGCTGCCGCCAGGTTATGAATCTGGACCTAAAACCGGTCCTGGCTGGGTCTCCGGACTGCCCTGCCGAGGCTGTTCATGGCTCCTACCTCCGCAACTGGAGCGCCATCCAGCAGCAGGGCCTGAGCCGCATGAAGAGGACACACATCCACCTGGCATCAGGCCTGCCAGGGGAGGATGGCGTTATCAGCGGTATGCTGTGTGTGTGTCTGACGGAGAAAAGCTTGTCAGCTGAACATTTAGAGAAATTTGTCCAACAGGGTTATTTCTTTTCCCACCAGGCATGAGGAAAGACTGTGACCTAGCTGTGTTTATTGATGTCCCCAGAGCCCTTGCTGGTAAGATTAGCCACTAGCAACTGCTGTTCAATACCCTACATTCACTCTATATGTGTTGAAATGAATCTCTTACACATGTTTTATGCTTGTATCTGACTGTACAGATGGCATTAAGTTCTTCTGGTCAGATAATGGTGTGCTGCTGACTGCGGGTGACGCTGAGGGTAAACTTCTCCCTAAATACTTCAGCCGAGCCCTACGACTGAGGCCTACAAGTAAGGAAAGCGATCAATCACACAGACATACAATTTTTGATTTCTTTCTTAGGAAACATGGATCTTGGGCCAATATGTACTTGTTCACTGATGTCACTTTTGTCCTGTGTTTTAGGGAGCATCTTGCCACTGCAGTAGCTGCACAGGATATGGTTCTGTCAGTGCTCATAGCTGGACTCATCTGACCATGAGAGCATCCCACGGTTGGTTGATGCTTGTCCTTGTCACTTGGTACCGCTTGTTGTTTAGCAGCATCCTCGTGCAGCTATTTTGATGAGCAGTAGGTGAATCCGTTCAAAACTTGTAAACCCTGAATTTGAATTGCATCTTTGAAATGAACATAATGGGTAAGAGAAGCATCCATTTCTATGAAGTGACAATTCAACCAGATTATGCTGACAAATGCTACGCTTTATTTGTACAGGTCTTGTATTCCTTATCACATTGTCTGTGTAACTCAACTATGATGCACAAAGATATTTTACCAGCAAGGCCTTTAAATAAAGAACTATTTGAAGGCATCCAGAATGGTGGTTAGTCATGTGACTGTTTGGGAAAGCAGAGGATGCAGACACTGTGGTTTAACGGACAGCCTTAACTATAAGATATGGACACATGCACGCGGCATGTGAGGAAAGATAATTTGTTTGAAGCTTCCTGTGTAAAAGAACAACAGAAAGTACGATCAGGGCAGACAAAAGAAAATGAAAACTGAATTGTTGTATTTTTTTTAGTAAGTATTTGTTTATTCACATGTTTATGTGGTGAACATTTAATATTGGTGTTTATTTTTTGTAATAATATGGCTGCTGTTAAGTGACAATAATTTCTAATAAAAGTCTAAGTGAAGATGCGTTTGCAGCTCTGGACAAAGCAAACTTTTCCATCCTGAGCAACGCTGATTACAAGCCTTGATAGAGGGAGTTGAAAAAGAGAAGTTGCAGCTGGCTGATTCAGCTGTTGATTTTACATTTCTGTGAGTTTGATTGTCAAGCCTGCTGATCCTAGAGCAGATGCCCAGCAGTTTGGCCCAGCAGCAGTCCATCCTGAAGGGAGGGGGCAAGTCAGCAGGAGGACGACTGGAGCCTCGAACTGTCTGGACACGTTAAGTCTGCCTTCCACTGATGCAGCCTACAAATAACTGTGCGTCTGTGTCGAGAACAAACGCTAGACCAGATCTTGATGGACTGAGAAGCTGGGTTTAAACTTGTCTACAATGAACAGAATATCATATTTTGACATTCCTATCTTATTGCGGCTAGCTTTTCCACCTGGGTTTTCCACTAGTGAGACAAACAGGGGATGTGATGGGCTCTGAAGGATCAGTTTGTTGTGTGTGTAGGTTTTTTTTTTAGTCTTAGAGAGCTTCGTGGCCACCGGTCAGCTTGTGGAAGAGCTCCGCGTTGAGCGTGTCGCTCTTCTCACGACTGCGTGTTGACATGAAAATGTAGCCTCCAATAAACTCGTGAACGATTTTGCAGTCAGCAGTCACACAGCTGAAGGCGATGTTCACGTTCCCCTCAAACTCAATGGCCACCTGGACAAGTCAGAAACACACAGAGGAGAGAAACAGTGGTTCTTTAAAAAGTTCTTTCCTGGAAGAAGTACTTCCCATTTCCTTGGTAGTGTTAAGGAAGTCACTCCCTGTACTCACATTTCAGTCATTTTTTTGCTACACTGTCAGTAAGATTTGAGGAAAGTTAAGTGTGCAGCTAAACTATTGCTTGTAAGTCAGTGTTCTGTCAAATTCACTTGTTTGATTTGTGGAATAACATTCTGACATAAGACATTGTGTATGATATGACGAGGACCACTGCAACTTTTCATGATCTAATTCCCAACACATGACAGAAGCCTGGTATGAGTCTGACCTGTCGTATGTCCCAGTTTACGTTCCACTGCTTCATGTTGTTGTAGCGCCAGGTCTTGACCACATCACCCACTCCCAGGTCGATGCGGATCAGGCGGTTTGGGGCAATGCCCAGCACCTCGTCTTTTCGACTACCCTTGAATCTGTTGGGCAAAAATATCTTTTAGCTTCCTCACTACCTCCAAGTCACCTGTCAGGCTAGACACAATTCAGCAGGTGAATTCTTTCTTCAATTTAGCCAAATTGATCATTTCTGCCACGTAAGGTGAAAGTTAGCTTTATGTTTTGGCTATAACTGCAGCTCTACATGATGTATCTTGAATTGTTTGTATCTCTCTAGTAGCATCTTTGCTTTTGTGAAAAGATTCATAACTTCCGTAACAAATCTACACATTTATGTCAACGCTGGGTGTAAGTGTGAATGTCAGGGTTTTACATTAACCCTGACATACTGAATTTCATATCTGATATGTTCACTGGCACAGAGTCAGTTTTCAAAAGCTTTTAATTAAACTTTAGACTTAACCTGACAACAACGTATGAGAGCCCAAAGTCTGGCAGGGCCTGCCAGATCTGCAGGAATCGCATCACTGCATCTGTCAGTGAGAGCTGAGCCACGTTTTGGTACGCGTCCAGGATGCGCGGGGTCAGCTGGAGGAGCAGGCACAGGGTAACGGGTCAGGCATAATTATAGTTTTGCTGCCTTGAGCACAAACTGTGGAAAGTTTCAAGTTGCAGAACTGTTCAATTAGCTCAGCAACACAAAATCACTGTAGAGTACTGCTGTTTAGAAAAATGTATACACAGTATCCAGGATCAATAAATACCCTGCTGTAGCTGCATACTGAAAATATGAGGCCTCACATCTGTTTTTTTTTTTTTTTTTTACTGCCCTTTTGAGTCTGTGTAAAAATTCCACCTCCTTCTGTACCTGTTTGGGTTTGTACTTCTTATGGTAGCGTGGAGACACCAGACTATGAGTATTGATGCTTTCATCACTGGCAGGTGCGTTGCCGTGGGAGTTGGTCTTTTGCATAGCCAGGAAAGAGCGGATGCTCTGGATCTCACTTTGGAAACTGCTGTCTGCGAGGCTCTTGCCCTTGGAGGCCAGCCGACACGCAGCCATCCACTGAGCATACTGCTGCTCCTGCAGGCCAAAAGACAAAGACAGAACACGGACAGAGAGAGCCAGGTGTGACTGTGGTCAGAGCTGAGATGGTAAGATAAAGACAGTGGTGGTGGAAAAGACAGTTTTTCGCAGATAGAAATGAAGTAAGATGCATGTGTGGCCTCACGTTCTCACAGCGCAGATAGACCTCGTTCATGCCTTCCGGTGCTGGGATCAGGAGTCTGATAAGGAACTTCTGCGCTGCAACGTTAATGTCTGGAGCCACCTCACATCCTGTGTGCAGGATGCATATCAAAGCAAGGTTCAATACTGAAATCTGATATTTATAATTTAGCTATAAACAAGTATGTAAGAAAAGACAGAACTCTGATGTGATGAACACTAAGCCTGACTTCATTGACACTTTGAGTTTACACCTGAACCTGCTAAATGACATGAAGTATTTTTTTAAGCGACATTGAAAATAAAAAAATAAAAATAATAATGATGAAAAATGGCCTGAAGTAGTAATATAATACTGGTAGCAGTAACCACATTAACTTCTCATATGCTGAGGAGGGAAATAAACTTGACAATGCACTTTCTCTTTTTGTCATCTATGGAAGCTCTGTGCTTATGTGCACTGAGGTTTCCTTGTAAGCGTCACAATATTGCGTATTTGGTCATTTCTAGGGAGTAATGTTTGGGGAAAAAATTGTATAAAAAGGCTGCTTAATGGCCACTAAGTCATAAATACTTCATGTCATTGGTGTCATGGCAGGAAAATGTCTCGGTCATAAAAAATAAATTAACCTGTTCGGTACCTTTAAGGTTGATCTGTTGAATGGGCTCTCCAATGCTCTCCTCTTTGCTCTTGAAATAAGAGATGGAAGTATCCTGGAACTTGAACCAGTACTGTTTGTAACCCTTCAGAGTCAGCCTCTTGGGCCTGAAACACACAATCATATTGCTCGGTTTCACTAAAACCTTTTTTTTTTTTTTTTTTTTTTTCAGGAAGAACAATTACAAATGTATTTAGTTCAGGAAAGTGGTACTTCATTGCTCCATTGAACTTGAGTTGGAAAGTAAATCTCACCGGAATATCTTCAGATAGTCATTGAGTTCTGGTGCAGTCATATTTTCCTGGATAAAACATACATTACATGTTATAGTGGCAATTATTCTTGAATTATCTTTGGTTCTGTCTGTGTAATATATCCCCTATGATATTGTGTTTCAAATCATAGCATGTGCACAAGTATCAAACTGCTAAAGTATAATGAGAACATAATATATTGTTACAAATTCCAGTGGGATCGCAATAACACAAATTAAGTCTGCTACAGTTCCTCCAACTCCCAGTGACAGATAGTGAAGTAAATCCAACATGTCTGACCAGCAGCTCGGATGCAGAGCTGCTCTCTCCGACCATCTTGACCTCCAGCGACTGCAGGGCAGAATCCAGGTCGTCCATGGCTGCATTGGTGCTCAGCATCTGGGGCTCTGACTGAGCCACCTTACTGATGTGGTACTGCATGAATGTGAGAGAGGAGAGAGACAGACTTTTAACTATGTATGTTAAAGGAGAACTCAGCCAATACAATACAATATATGTAATATTTGAATCATCAGTTGTTTTGTTAGTCCTTTATGGTTTTGTTGTGACTCAGATTAGGAACTTGTATTTTTATCTTTTTTTCAAAGAACACAAGTCACTAAATCCGAAGACTGGGCCTGCTTGACACTGGATGCAGACTGTTGTCTATATTAAATGTTTTTTTACCATGACTTTTTAGTCATTTTTGACATTTAAGAGTTTCATGACGAAGATGTGATTCTCTGGCTTCCTCCCACACAGTCCAAAAACATGTTGAGGTTAATTGATGATTCTAAATTGTCCTTAGGTGTGAATGTGAGTGTGCTTGGTTGTCTGTCTCTATATGTGTAGCCCTGTGATGGACTGGCGACCTGTCCAGGGTGTCCCCTGCCTTCGCCCTAAGTCGACTGGGATAGGCTCCAGCCCCCCCCCATGACCCTAGTGAGGATTAAGCGGTGTATAGATAATGAATGGATGGATGAAGGAAATGTCCACTTCCTACACAGTGATACGTGTGTTTCCCCTGCAGCGGCTGTATTTTCTACCTGCAGAGCTCCAAACAGCATCATCTCCTCCTCCGTGCAGTCGATGTCCTCCAGCAGGATGGCCCAGCGTGCCTGCTCATACAGCTGGGTCAGACGCACAACATCGTACTGCAGGGCCAGAGAGGGATGAGAAGCATCTCGTCAGAGAAGGGATGTTATGCCAAGCACATCCAAAAACACACACACACACACACACACACACACACACACACACACACTGTTTATGTTGATAAGCAATATGTACACACACACACACCTTGGGTTCAATATCATAGAAGGCAAAGTATTTAAAACGAAGCCATAGTCGGTCGTTTTCTTGGATGCCCTGCTGCATGAGACAACGAGATGAATCCAACCACCTGAGAGGGAAGGACACACAATATTAACATAGTAAAACACGTGTATGTTTATATATGTGTTAAAAAGCAGGAGAAAAGCATCTCTGAGAGCTATCCTGTAATCATCTTGAGGCCTCAGCATAATTATAATGAATCTTACATGCATACATTTTATACATACACAACCATAAGACATATTTTTCATTTTACTCATTTTTATTGCTTGACTGTTTACCATTAGGCTACTGTTTTATTTATGGAGGTTCTATTGTTCATGTCACCTTTTGGTCTTTTCTATTCTTGTATTATTGATAAAGTTGCAGTTCCTCAAATAGCCACTTGAGGCTTTTTTCAAAAGCAAGCAAATGCCCATAGACCTTAATTTTAAAATGCTCAATTTAACAACAGAAATAAACATGTTTATAGCCTTGTGCAAAGAGTAGTTTGAGTCTCTGTGGCTAACATCCCTGTTCATGACAACTGTACAGGGGGTGAATCTTTATATAGCTCACCCCATTAAATTGTGTTAAGGCTTAAAATTTTGCAGAATTAAGTGCATAACTGCTTTGAATGACAGGTAGGGGTTGTCTATGGCCTGCCTCAGTTTCAATCACACTCCATCTCTTTGCTCAGCTTTGGATTAGCTGGGAGTTAGGAGGAGTCAGGTACTAATGTAATGAGGACAGCTGGAGCCACCACACAAAACTGTTGTTCAGGAAAGCTGTTGGTTGGTCCATCTTTATATAGAGTCTGTGGTCTAGACCTTACGATATTATAGAGAGATACCCAACAATTCCCTCTGACTGAGCACTTGGTGACAGTAGAGAGGAAGAAGTCCCTTTTAACAGGAAGAACGCTCCAGCAGAACCAGACTCAGGGAGGGCAGCCATCAGCCTCGACCAGTTGGGGTGAGGGGAGAGTTCTTAACTGTGACAGTGCCTGAAACATTGGGTTAATACGTTACCTGCCGTTGATGTGGGCCTTGTCCACCACGCTGGCGGGGCGGTACTGCTTGGCTATGACCTCGGGGGCGGGGGGAGGCTGAGTGACCGACAGCATCTTGTAGATGGCCTCCATCTGAGGTGAGCCAACAAAGTGAGCTGGCATGCCGTTATACAGACAGGACTGTGACACTGCAAAGAAAGTAGAAGAGTTACAGTTAAGTTTTCCTGGAAGACTTTAAGAACATATATGAATCTCTAATAGATAGTTAGGTTGATAGCACACAGCTCAATTTGTACAGTGACCTTTGGGTGCTAAGGAGCAGCTTAATAAACTGTCCTGGCTGTCAGATGAGAATAGCTTATGTTAGTTGTATTTTATATATCTATAATTAATCTTCTTCACTGTGGCTCAGGCCTCATCATCGCCAAGACTAAAGAGGTTATTGAAGATCATTTTTTCTGAGGTGATACTATACATATTAATATGATTTGTCTAAAAACAGGACAGCATGTCCTGTATTGAAGATGCAGTCTGCACTGGTTTAATATCAAAGGACATCTGATGAAACTGTACCAGTGAATGAAATGTATGGTTGTGGAGTTTTAAAACAAGTTTTTCAAGACTTTTGCCATAACTAAATGGAATTTCAAGTTTTTTCAAAGTTTTGCTGGAAACCATCACTTAAGCACATTATGGCTATAGTGCAAATGTAGTTAATAGTATAAAGTGAGATGAGTATACCCGAGGAGAGCGGCACCTCAGTCAGGTCATAGATGTCCTGTGCCAAGTCTTTGTCTTTCTTCTTCTTCTTCTCCTCCACAGGCCGAAGGAGGGAGAGCTCCTCGGGGTGACGGATGTCTGTGCAGGTAACAGAGAGAAAATGAAAGCAAAAGTAATTAGCTTTACTAATCAGAGCATGTTATGATACTGACATACATGCATACTAAAATAAATATGTAGAGACACTAGCCAATGGTACATCCTATGGTTGGGAAGTTTTTCGGTTGTGTGAGCTGATTGGTGGAGCTTTTAGGTTCAACTTCTGATGTTCACCGGATTCTGTGCGCAATGGTAGTGTGTCTGAGTCCAGCTCAGATGTATGCGTGTTCAAATCATGTCAGTGTAAATAAAGATACTGTGCAATTTCACAGATTTTTTTTTTTTTTTTTACTGTTAAACACTGATATTTCTCCTAAAAGGAGAAAGTATCTGTTTATATCTGTGCACTGTGTGCATTGTGTGCAGCTCTTTTCTCCCTGTGCTGTGTGTTATTTTCTATTGTATTGTACGGAGCCCGTCTGGTGACATCGACAAGAAATAAAAATAACTCGTTTCCACGCATTGGTAAGTCGAGGCCACGAGTTATTAATGCGTGGGAACGACATAGTTAAATTGTGGCCTCGCATTACTAATATGAAGAAACAAGAGAAGTTGTGGAGCAAATTTCACAGTGCGGTCTTACCAGCTGTCGATTAAGGATAGCGGGCATGAAACATGGAGCATTTTGATTTGATTTCATTTTATTTTAACCTTGCAATGAACTACACCGATATCCTGCGATCTCTTGCGATGAAACACTGTGCGATAATTATGTCGTTCCCACGCATTAATAACTCATGACCACGATTTACTAATGCGTGGGAACGAGTTATTTTTATTTCTTATCAATGTCACCAGACGGGCTCCGTAGTATTCTGCTGCTGTAACACTTAAAATTTCCCCGCTGCAGGATCATCCATTATCTATACATTGCTTAATCCTCAATAGGGTCGCAGGGGGCTGGAGTCTATCCCAGCTGCCTTGGGGTGAAGGCAGGGGACACCCTGGACAGGTCGCCAGTCTATCGCAGGGCTGCTCTTAGAGACAGACAACCAAGCACACTCACATTCACACCTACGGACAATTTAGAATCATCACTTCACTTCAGCATGTTTTTGGACTGTGGGAAGTCAGAAAGCCCACGCTGCACGGGGAGAACATGCAAACTCCACGCAGAACGATCCTGGTGACCCCACCGGGACACGAACCGGCAATCTTCTTGCTGCAAGGCAACAGTGCTCCCAACCATCTGAGCTTTAAGGAGCTGCTATGTATTTGTGGATATCACTGGGATACACTGCTGCATTATCAGTGCTATATCAGAACTGCTAATTCTTCTGGTCTTCATTGTAGCAATCGGCAAGAATCAGGTCAGGCTGAGTAAATCAGTGTTCTTCTAGCGAACCACTGTCCTCAATAAGTTTACATTTCATAATTTGGGACTGACTAGTGCTTTTTCGTCGGGTTCATGTGTCACGTGTCCATGTCCTCCATGACTCTGTGGCGCAACGGTAGCGCGTCTGACTCCAGATCAGAAGGTTGCGTGTTCAAATCACGTCAGGGTCAAACTCTTTACTTCTTCTTCAAAGGGAGACCTTATAAAATGTGCATCAGCTATTAAATGAACTAAAGGCTTTAGAATACAGTAGAAGGGACCAATTTGTGACATCACCACACACATTCCTTCATACTATCGAATTTCATCTTTTAATAAAAGCAACTTGCTAATATTCACCTTTTAAAAACCTAAAAGGTGCAGGCTAGCACTGGTAAACCATGAAGG